TTTAATTGCAGCCCTGCTCCCCGGGAAGGAGCCCGAGGCACGGCGCGGCTGTGCCCCCGACCCTACAACGGCGCGAGGCCCGCGCGCCCTCGCGGCCCCGCCGGGGAAGGCCGCAGCCAGGGACGGGAGCGCTGCCGCCCCTCACGGCCACCGTCACCACAGAGCGGTTTAAACGCCGATGAATAAACTGCCGGTGTAGACAGTTCACGATTTCTAAACCATTCCTGCGATACTTACTTTTAACGTTGTCACTCAATTTACAAGAAATAACACGCTATTGCCAGAGGGCGATAAACGGCGTCTGAACTGTGTCCCGATCCGCAGAATTTTAACTGCAGCCTTGTGCCAGTATTCACAAACTAGTTCCACCAAGAGTACACATTTTCTTAATTCATGCTTTAATAAACATAGAAAAATACATACAGAAATACAACCCTGCTATGATTCAAATACTGGCTGTAGACATTCATTTGAAGGAAGGCTGGTAAAAGGGAACGAGCCAAGATATTTCTGAGAAAATGCTTCCCTTGAAAATACTGACTTGTCAAAAAAAGGGTTGTTTTTTTTCAGGAGAGAAAATAAACAAAAAAAAATCTCCCGTTCTGAACCTAAAGTTGCCCAGTTCTTAATCTAAAGTAAATACTTTTAGGAGGTTTAAGTTAAGTTTAAAACAATTTTGAACTGAACGGAACATCATGTTCTTCAACTTTTATGAAAATATTTGGGATGTCTTTTAGTTTCTTTTAAAATAGATTTTTATTTCAAAATGTTCAAGGATTGGGTATCATTTCCCATCCAGCAATAACTGAAAAGCAGTATGAGCAAGAAGGGAGTCATGAGAACAGCTACAAAAAGAGAACTGTGAAGACAGATACAGTTAATCAAATTATGTAGTTGACCCCAGCAGCAACACCAGTACAAACATAATTTGGAGTGTTTGAAATCAAAAGGTCACATTATTGAAGTCACAATCACAGCAAAGTGCTCTTGAAAATGAGCTCTAAATCTTATCTAGAACACTGCAAAACAAGGTAGACTACGCTTATTGCCTCAGGATGTTTATTTAGTTTTGAGAGTTCACGTGATTCCAGCCTTAGGCCGCTATCAAATCTCTTGGGGTTTGGGGTTTTTGTTATATAGACAATTTATGTTAGAAAAGAGGGCAGAGTGAAGTTGTCTTTACCCTGCTTTTCTCAATTATGTATTTGTAATTTTATATATGCAAAATATTTTTCTTTTTTTCTCTTGTGCTCTGTATAGTTCAGGAAATGAAACTTAAATCATCACATGCATACACTTAAACTGTTCAGTTGCTTCTCTTTATTCTTGCAATTGGTCATTACTCATTAAAAAAATAAAAAAAAAAATAGACCATGTTAGATGAATCATTTAAATCAGATTATGAAATGAAATTAAATGAAATCTGAAGAACCTGTTGTTAAGTTTAAACATCTAATGAAATGGTGGTGGCAGCAGCAGTACAAAGGCTCTGGTGTTATGTGGAATACTGTTAAAATGTTTGGGTATTATGACTGCTCATTTCAATCACCTGTCTTTTGGACTGAAAGCCAAATTACTGCATATGAAAGCCTGACTTTACATTATCACAAATGCCACAGGCCCCAATTTGCAGTAATGAAGTACAGGAGTTGTTTTCAAGTGTCAGTCCTGAATAAATTAGTGCCAATATCGAATTTGCAAGCACAGTCCTCTAGCTGAAGATATGGATTTTAAGTATTTTAAAAACAGGAGACAATTTTAAATGGCTCTTATTCTGTTTAGAGACTGACATCTCTTTTCCTGATGATTTAAAAGGCAACATGAACAGCAACATATTTTCTTCTGCTTTGTAAAATGATTCTGAAGTCAATTTCTTGAAATACCCTCCGTTACTGAAAAGAACAGCAATAAGAAAAACAATTATTAATCAAGCTTATACCACAATTCCCAACCTCATAAGAACATTTTTACTGGAATCAGACCACTGTTCTTGGCCAGTTCTTCTGAAAGAGAGAAGGGCATTTTCTCTCAGAGAAAGATGCCCGCCTTTATCATTGCTTTTTCTGTTGAAAACCAAAGTTACTCACTAGAGAAACATTTCTAGACAAGTATGCTTGAAAACATATGTACCTGCCTAATCTGACTCCCATACAAACTCTGTACCCAATACTCAGGTATTTGTGAATGTACTTTAAGAACGACTAATGACTACTGAGTTAAGTGAAGTTCGTTGTGAACAAGCTGAATGTATAAAAAGTCACCTGATTTGGCACTATATTCAGAAGACATGTTAGCAATTGGAGCCTGTGCACATTGTATAACCATTCTTCAAGCACATGTTTTGGTAGATTCAAGACTCTTGAGTAACGGTATTCAAAGTTCCGAAGGGTACAGTTCTTATGCTATGAATTTGGTGCTTTCTGGCTCAAGTGGCAGAATTAGAAGCATTCAGAGTTTCATCCTTTTCATATTAGATAGTGTGCTCCCACTGACTTTAATATCCCACTGACTTACAGGATCCAGCTGTATTTTATCATCTTTTCAGAAACTTGCATATATTAATAAGAACTAAAGATAAAAATAGACAACTTACCTGAATACTGAAGCATTTTCCATTGCTGCTGAAACTGGTCTCTTAATATTTTAATTTTATTTGCTTTTTCTTGGCTAGGAGGTATATAAGTTCCAAAGTTAGGTGTAGAAGCACCCACTAATGCTTTGGCTATACTTTGCATTAAATTTATCTCTTTGTCCTATTTAAGAAGAAAAAAAAAATACTCCTGGGAACCAAACTTTATTTATTTCAGTAATACATGAAATATTTTAAAGCAAGTTTTTGTAATTAAGTGTTAGTACTAGTAGCAAGAATGAGTAACTTTCCATTTTCAAATAAAAACATTTCCAAAGGGAGTTTTTTCTGAAAAATTAATTTTTATCTCCCGTAAAACTTGTTTCTTTCAAATAGAAAAAGAATCTCAGTTTTCCTTTTGTGACTGAAAGGAAATAATGCTGGGTTAAAGGTAGAAAATGTTAGGAGGGAAGGGGAGCATGGAGCTTGTTTACTTCATGCATCATTTCTTTTCTATCAGTAGAAAATAGTGATGTATTCTGCTTCATCAAGAAATGACTTTTTTTTTTTTTGACTCCTGAGAGTCTAAATCAGCATCATTTTCTCACAGAAATTATATTCTGAAATGCTGATAGTATAGGAAGACTATTAGCATTTATTTGGAAGACTGTAACTCTATTTCACTTTTAAGAGATAAAATTATTTTTTCAACTATTCTAAAAAGCCAAGCATATGCATTAGAAAATCCACATGCATTACATAATCCTGTTATGGAGCTACCTGCAGAGTACCACTATAAAAGCATCAGTGACTTTTGAAGATCTATGCCTAAATTTCTTTTCATCTCTGAGTTTATCCTCTACAAAACAAGTAATTCTTTCCATGTCATACTCCTAATTAGTAATGTGCAAATACACTATTTATGTATACTGCCTATCAATGTACAAATTATTTTAGCTTAGACAGCTTATGTGTCAGCACTGTAAATTAAAACAAATAACATTTGCGAAGACTACAGAATAAAGCATGTCAAAATTCACTTGACAGCTTAATGAATAGTCTAATTGGATACTTGCTGGGGAGCAGGTTAGAATAAACATATATGAACAATTAGTTGTTTCTCATTAAAGAACTAGAAGGCATGAAAGCGATCAAAAGTTAGTTTCACAGAACAAACAGAGAAATTGTGTTAGTCACAGCCACAATGCTGCAGAACCCAAGAGTTTAAATTAAGAGATTAGACAAATTCATGGAAGATATGCTTGCTAGCACTTATCACACACTGGTTTGGATAGAGCCTCCGACATTCTAAATTTAGAAATCCTTAACATGGTAGTGTATGGAAAGGCTAGACTAGGGAAAGATCCAGATATTCTTTATTTTCTTTCCCATGCTCTCTACCAGAAACACAAAGCTGGAGTAGATTGGTCCTCAGTTATGTATTATGGCAATTAAGTTCACTCAAAGGATATGTGCCATTTTGATTTCTTTGTCTTCTGCATGACGGAAGTCAGGTGTGATAAAGTACAGCATGGGGGAGTGAATGAGAGGAACTTCAGCATTTTATGATAAAGAGGACAATGGTCTGCTTTCAACCACATTTGATGGAAAGGCCATATAATTAACAGACAAGTGTGTCTCTTCAGGAGACAACTCTGAGCTGTGAATCCCAGGTGGAAAGGGAAGTTGTGGTAAATTGTCACAACACCTCCTGTCTACAGACATAACCATGTGCTTGCACTCGTGCCGCAGCTTCTCAATCATGCCAGCTGCCTACAGCTCGGTAGGCACCTGTGTCCTGTCTCGTTCTCAGGACAGCAAGAAGGCTATTTGTGTTGTGAATTCAGGGATACCAAAGATAGTACAGATACAGCCAATATTTTCTACTGGGCAGCTTGAAGCAGTTAATACCAAGCATGCTGCTGTTTGATTTGAGTTCTGTCCTAGGCACAAAAGTACCACAGCTTAGTACCACTTCTTACCTCAATCACTGCTAGAATTCGAGACTCAGCTAATCCTTGTAGTAAAGTAAAAAGCAGAAAAATTCCACTTATTCCAAGGCTCCTGTTTGGTCCAATACCTATTACTGTCAAGTCAGGTCGATAACTATATGCTACAGGAAGAATGAATCCAAGTACAGCAGAAAAGAAGTCATTTCCTTCAGCATCCTTTAACAACAATGAGAAACTGTTTAGCACAAATGCAAAGCCTCAGATTCCCAGATATAAAACAGAACAGTAAGAGGAATCTCAATAAGCTTTTAATTGACCTAGGAGACAGGATACTGATCTATTTTCACTGCAATTTTTATATTAAACATGCAGATTATTCATCTTTTCCTTCATATCTTCACATTGTGCCTTCTCGAAGATAAACTAAAGTAGTTACTAGAAGTTTCCTCAAACCTATGCATTCTAATACACTCTAAAGATCTGTGAAGTAGTAGTACCCTGGCAAGGGCATGAAAAGGAAATATTTTCAAAGGTCCAAATTGCAGTGAGGGGTGTAATTCTCAATGTCATTTTATGAATTTGTAAATATATTCTATTATTTCTGTTAAAAAAGTTTTTCTCTTGCATTCTTTCCAGAAAGTGAATCTTACCTGTTTCCAATTTAGAGGAATATAGTGTTTGGAGCTGGTCTTTCCAGACTGCTCTTTCTCACAAATATGTATCATGAGTATTTTCCTGTAAATCAAAAACACATCTGAGTATTTAACTACCAACTTCCAATGTGATAAAAATATATTTTCTTTCATCATTCTTTAAATACTAATTCATAACACAGGAGCACATAACTATTTGCATTACTACAAGCCATAATGTAAACACCAATTAAAACTGAAATCTTTTTTAAGGTATTTTTAAAAAGAGTATTAAAGACTACAGGCAAATTACTTTTAAGAAAAAGGGGAAGCAGCAAAAAAAAAGTTAGATAAGATCACTTTCAATAAGGAACTCAGCACCAGTAGTATGTGCCCCCTGCAGTTATAGGGGGATATGGCCTATCTAATTAATAATTGCCTTACTACTTTCTATTTTCAATAACAATCTAAATTTCAATTAATATAGAAGGATTACACTTGAAACCAACCACTAAACTCATAAAGTGGCACTTAGAGATAGCAGTTTATCTGTAGATAACATCTGGGGATGTTTTGCATTTTGTCTCAAGCTAAACTTAATGAACATCAGTTCATGACTGATTCCTTAGTGCAGATTTCATCTTACATATGGACACTTATGAACATTTATAAAGCCTTTGGGATTTGACTCCCTGAAGTAAAGAGAAACCTCACCCATCATCTGTGTTTGGTATGATTTGCATGTCTCCAACAAATACACAAAGTACTCTGCAGAAAACAAAGAAAAATACACACACATTTGAATCTACAAGTAATTTTTCTTCAATTAGTGCAATTTGTTTAAAGAGTTTGCATGCAGATTAGATGAAAAAAGAATGTATACTGTTTCTGAATTTGGTCCATTAAAAGTATAAAGAACTTTATTTATGGCAGCCCAAAGGAACTCTTTTTCTCCTACCAACTACTAGGGAGAAAAAACAAAAGCAAGAAAATGTCATAATGTCTTCAGGCCAAAGACAACTGAAATCTGATAAAGAAAATGTGGCTAGCACAGCAGTCATCCTCACAAATGTTTTGCCTTTGGTAAGGCAAAAGGTTTTTGCTGGCATATACAATACTGTCTGTACTATATATTGAAAATGCTATGTGTATGGAGATGCTATTTGTTTTAAAATTAAGGTTTCAAAGGCAATTTGCCACATTTCACACACACTTAGTATCTTATTTTTGCATTTTGTCAAAGGTCCCCAAATGCAAAAGATACAAATTCACCTTTGAAATCCAAAGCGAACAGAATGTCTTAGTGCAACAGCAACAGAAACAGAAGCTGTGGGTGACTGTGCAATCCCATTGCACACCTGCAAAATATATTTTTCATTCAGAAGTAATTAATGCTGCACAAGATAGTGTCATTTTTCAATTGTAACAACTTCATTTTTACTTGTTTCTATGTATCATTCAAAACAAAGCTACAGCTGCATGAAAGGGATCTTTCATACAGATATCATCTATCATACAGATATATATCAGTCATACAGACAGATCATTCATCAATCATAATAGAGTTAAAAAACTGTTATTATTAAATTTTCCACAGAAAGGCCATATTTGATTATTATGCCAAGAGCTGTTCTATTACTTCAGAAGTATGGTGCTATGCTGAAAGGCAACTGTAAAAATAGCTTTTGCAGGGGAAGTCCATCTTTACTGGGTCTCTAGTCTGCAGATTGCACACACTCAGTGTTCCCGCAGGCAAACTGCACCAGAAAAGTACACCCTATGAAAAGGGGGTTGTCCCTGAATTCTAATTCTGACTCTTCCTTTAACCTAGGCAAGCTATTCCTTTCTGGACAACACAATGACAGTATTACTCAGTCAACATTTCAGTGTTCATTTGTGTTGTGTAGTACTTTGAACTCTACATGAAAGCTAAGCAAAAAGATAATGCATGCTCCCTCTTCACACTCCTTTGTATTTTTCAACACAAAAAGCTCAGCTTTGCATCTGCAACCTAAGAAAAGTTGTTTTAGCCAGTTACCATTTTTTGGATCTATTTATAGGCTCTCCTAGAGGTCTGTGCAGTCTATGTTGGAAATTTATTCCCATGATCTACATATGAGAATTCCAACAGCAAGAAGATGGCTTACAAGAAAGAGGCCATTCTGGCAGTTACTCTTCCTCAGAAGCCTGGTACTCTAAAGAGAGCCTTTCATTCAAAGGGGGAGAGTGATTCATAATGATGTAATATTATTAACTTGTTTGCAGTTTTTTCTCTTTGCTTCTCCAAGTTTTTATAAATAAACACAAACATGCACTCTGTAAGTCTGCCTTCTCCTCATTCCTGACCCTGCAAGAATCAGAATGCTGAACTGGAATTATTCTGTTCATAATCACAGCATGCAGTGATTATGCAGCTTCACTAAAGGCTGGGGTGTGGGGGGGGTGGGGGTGTAAATCAAAGTTTACTCTGAGTAAACTGTTGTATAAATAATGGTAAGTGGGTGCAGCTGCACATAGCATGGCATCTGGTAATGAAGAGTAATGCAGAAGTAAACTCTCTCCTAAAGACAGAATGCAAAATTCTGTGCACAGAGACAGGCACATTTTTGACATTTCTTGTTCAGATTTCTTGCTGCTGCTCACTGGTGCTTGAAACACCAACTTCGGCTCACCTCTACTGGAAGAGTGAATGCCTGGTTCACCTGCATGTCTGAGAGTGATAAGAAGGTTCTTAGTGACTCATATGCTGTGACTATAGAAAAGCTGGACAATGTCTTGCTCAAAGATCGTTAGAAAGATGTCTTGGGGTTAACAACTATCCTAAATAGTTGTTTTCTCATCTTGCATACTCACACTCACAGCTAAGCACATTCTAGCTGAGATCAGTGGGGTCGTGAACTACAAAGTAACTAATATCTGGTCAACAGTGTATTAGAAGCAGAAATCACAGGAATCCAACTCTCTTCCCATGCCCCAAGATCAAAGCAATTTATTATTACCTCCTTCTTAAGTATTTTATCTAGGATGGCCAACATACTGCCAAGAGAGAGCAAAGTTTTGTCCTCTTTCACAAGGTCTGCATAAAAGCCACTGTAAAATAAATTTTATGAAGAAAAACTAGGTTAGAGGCAATAATAGTTTTGAAGAGGACACTGATTATCGTACTCTGCAGTTAGAATTGAAGGGGTACATTTTGCATAGGTGCTACATGGTGATTCTCAAAAACCCAGCTCTAGTAGGAAGATGTTGCCTGATAATCTTGAGATCTCTAAACCTGTGTTCATCTCCACAGGAAAGAAAACAAAAATGTTTTATGATATTCAGGAAATACAGTTTTGTCAAAATTGGACTAAGACAAAAAGTTGAGCCTGTCAAATCAGACCACTCTGGTTATTTTTTTCAACAAAAAGTGAACACAGGGCTTTAAGGCACCTGCCTAGAAAAATCTCTTTCTAAATGAATGTTTGCACTAACTGTTCTATCTCCATTGAAATAGTTTTCTCTAAAAGTGTTCTTATTTAGTTCTTTAAAGAGCTTCAAGCCTATGGGTGATAACCAACACCAATGTCTTCATTCTTCAAAGGAAGAAACTCTGGCTATAATTGAGTAGACTAAGGACAAAAAGATGATCATGGCAGAGACGGAGCTCTGTACACCAAGACCTCTCACCCTCATAATTATGTTGAAAATTAGATAGAACCAACCTGACAAAAGCTTTTATTTCAGTTTTGTCCAATTCCTTCACCAAATGAACAGGTACAGGGAGCAAATGTGCTGAACCTTTAGAGTCAGATGTTGCTGTTCTGATGTGAGGCACTGGAAATAGAATATTTTTCATGTGCAGTTCCAAAAACTTTTCTACTTTGACAGTTTCATTGTTGTTACTTATCTTAGATTCATGTTCTGTGGAGGGACTTGGATCAGCCTTCTTTAGTGTGTGCGATTTGGTGCTCAAATTTTGTATAAATGATGTATCTAGAGGGGAAAAAAAAAAAAAAAGGTGTTTCACATGTGTTAATTCTTAAGCAGTGTGTTAATATTTGGTTATGTTTATTTACAAAATTGAGTACATCTGTATTCATAGTATGTAATTTATTTCTATGCACTAGCTACAATGTTTCCTGCCACATTTGTTTTAATCTAGCAAAAGGTCATAAAAGAGCATCCTCAAACAAAGATAGCAAAGTGATACTTTTTGGTGTGATGTTTGCTGGCCTCAGAAGTTCTTTTCAGACCAGCTGAAGACATGGCCTTGAATGATGCCTCACACTGCTTCATCAGCCACTTGATAACTGCTAGTTCAATTACTTTATCTTAATAATTTAGAATTTCTGTATTAATCCATTTACCAATCACATTTGCTTGAAGAAAGAGTAATTACCTTCATACATCAACCATTTCCAGTAGGGTTTATGTGCTGCTCTCACGTTTTGAATAGATTCAACAGCACTACAAAAGAAACAGGATTAACAGTATCAGCACTAATGAAAATACAGGAAACATAACTTACCTTAATGAAAAAGCAAAACCAAAAAAAATCCATCTGAAGATGAACAAGCTCTGGTCTCCTCCAAGAATGCAGAAAAGAAAGATAAAGAGAATGAGAGTCAATAGGCAGATTGCTTGGAAAGATTAGATTCAAGAGTCAGAAAAGCGAAGAACACATGGAGTATGTACACATGTTTACACACAACAAAATCCCAACCCTGCTGTTAGAGGAAACACACTTGTCTCTGAGTTCAGAAAAGGCAAGATTTCACCTGTCTTTCTTTTCTCTGTCAGAGATTTTATCATCTACATAATGTAAAGATGTAATTAGATTTACTCAAAAGCAAGACTATCTGTTCAGGAACCAAGTAAAACACATTCCTTTGTGTTCTCTGTATTGGAGACTCTTTTTTATTATCAATGATATTTGCAGCACTACAGGCAAATGGTCCTATTACATTAGCCATCATACAAACATAATTCAGATGATGTTAAATCCAGGATAAATTCTGTGTACTTGGAGATTATTTATAAGGTGTTCAAGAACTGGACTGATATCATGGGTAAATATGTAATCAACTCTCTGTTACCTAGAATGATAGCAACCTGACATCCTACAGTTGTTAGAGAAGAAAAAGAAGCAATACAGGGGCTATGGGATGTGCTGGGAGCAAAATAACCAGCTCTGCTTCATCAGAGTTTACCAAACCCAACACTGCATACAGCCTGTGTATAGCTACACTGCTTCCCTGACTGATCGGAGCTCCGAGTTTTAACTAACAGCCAACTGATAGTTGCTGCCACCAAAATGCATGAAGAGCATTACTGATGAAAAAAAGCACAGGAAAACTATTGAGGTGGGAGAGACTGAGGACAGAACACAGAGATGTGGAGGAGATGGTACAGACAGGTAGATAGAAAAAGACGCTGTTTAGATGTGGGACTGATTCAGGCCCAAGGTTCAGAATGCTTTACTACATCAGATTCACCCCTGAGCAAACACAGTCTTACTATCTCCAAAAAAAAGTTAGACCTGAAGTTTAATTATCTTGGTACAGCCCCAGGCCTCAATGCTCTAATTTCCAGGAACACAAGGAGTCATCGAGACTGGCCCTGCACCGCATCAGCAATCACTGATGAGAAAAAGGTTAGCTCCAGCTGTTGCTGTACTACAGCAACCAAAGTGGCTCTGGAGCCTGAAGAACTAATCATTGCAATTACATACTTTCCCAAATACTGGCTGTTATTAACTGGCACTGCCTTGATTACAGCAGGATTGTCTCAGCCTTGAGTGAGATGGATCTCCACAGGATAACAAGACCCAAGGATAAATGGCTTATAATTTTATGCTATTAAGCTCTCACAACTTGAAATAATTCAGAAACAAAGTATACAAAACTGTACTTTGGATGACTTTTTTTTTTGAAAAGCAAGTTATCCAAAGCAGAAAATAACGTATTAAAAAGCATCATATTAAAACCCTGCTTCACCAAAATATTCAAAGCATGCATGTCATTAGTCTCTTTGATAAATACTTGGGTTGTTCTAAAATTCTTCATATGCTTACCTTAGGCAAGGTGCCATTTCTCCAGTTATTTCAGGTATAGGATCTCCAAGCAAAGTTTTTACAGTCATGCAGACTGATTCAGACAATGACTTTAAGTGGTAACCACCCTAGAAAAAAGTATTTTGTGTCACCTAAGAAACAATTATTGTAACATCCATCTGTGTATCATCATGGAAAATAAATTAAACTTTTGAAAAACATCTGAATTTACAGAAACAGAAGATGATATGCAAATACCTCTAAGTAAATAATTTTAAATATGAAAACAGTAAGTTAGAAAGCAGTTACTTGCTGAACTTCACTGGCATCTCATGGTTCAAGTCACTTTATCATGGTTTGATTCATTTCGGAAATCAGTCATGAAAACCCTGGAAACATATGCCTTCTCCATTCCTATCCATGATATGCTGTCTTCAACAATTCTTGTGGAAGATTCTTTAGAATGCAAATATTATCACTGTCTTCTAAAATGCCTGTACAAAGGAAATCTCCCACAGCCTGACACCTTTAAGATATGGTTGTCCTAATGGTTTGGATAGAATTTGGAGAACAAGTGAAGATAGATTTAAGACTGCTAGATTGCAGATGATAGATTGCTTCCTGCATGCCACCTGTGGAGCAGTCACATCATTGTATTAGCAGGGGATGCTTATTTGCACTTCAGCTAGTAAACAGAAATATCTAAAAAAACCTGCTGGAGAGAAGGATGATGGAAGAAAGCTCACGCAAAACAGAGGTCAAGTGAATCAATTAATAAACAGTTTACTCTTGGGAGACCTCATTGGCAGTAGTATTTTCACAAACTTATTTACCTAAAAAGCCACCATTTTTCTAACATGCAGCAGAAACAGAGAGATGAAATCTAGATTTCAAAAGGAGGAAACATTTTTAATTGTTTAAAAAATAGCTTTTGAAAAAAGAATTTGCATAGAGGCTTTTAATCAAAAAAGAGGAAATTGAGTAAGGACTCCATTACTAAGGAAGAGTATATTGAAGCTAAAGGTTTTTTAAACTCTCCTGCAGTAAGACATACTTGTAAAAACATCAGTAATGCATCTTATTCATGAAATACATCTTAATGAGTTTGGGACTGTCCAGAGCAGCAGACTACTCACTGTTCACAAGAACTGAACGTAGCTGTGGAGTATATAGGATTTTTTGAATAATGAGCATACACTCCTCTGTTTCAAAGTTTTTTGTTAAAAAAAAAAAAATCAATTTTTAAGACATGCATTTCTTTTTAATGTATAAGAGCACTGTCTTACCCATTTTTGCATTCCAGATTCTTATAAAAAAGATAACAAGAATAAATTACTTCGTTAAGAAGTTCTGCTTCCTAGTTTCTAGCTTTCCCTATATGGCTCTAATACAAAGACTCTTCCCCTGGGAGTACATTTCAAGTCTTTACCTCTAGGATGACACACAGCTTTCCATTAGCTAACTGCATAAGGAAGTGGGTAAGGTGGGCAAAAACCTCAGGAGTGGCATTCATCTGACCCTAAATCAAAGAAAAAATTTTTAAGAGATGAAACCTGAATCAAAACCACTGGTTAAAAAAAAACTTCCATACAATCTGAAATACATGGAAAACTGGAACATTTGCCTCTCATTGTAACTAATAAAATGCTGAATTAAGTGCTTTAAATGAAGGTGCAAAAAACATAATTATGTCTATGGGATAAATTGTCTTTACATGTCTCACTGTAGTATTTAATGAGCTAGAGTCATCTTAAAGATGCAAACATTTATTTTTAGCTTGGTCAAAGTGAATTTCACCTAGAAATCACATGACATTTAAGTGATAGAAATATTTTGTGAACAGATTTGTGACTGACAACACAAAGGCCACAGGTTACTTACTTCAGGGTCTCCAATTCCAGAATCATATCCAGAGGAAACAATAACCAGTTCCGGATCAAACTGTCATAAAAAAAGAGAGTTGTAACACATTCTTATGTCCTATTTTCAATTTTGTACTGGATTTCAACTGTACCATGTTCAGCTGTTATTTCAGCCACAATATGAACACAGACTCTACCTGAATAAAAACTAAGACTACCCTTTTACGCTACTTTCATTCACACTGGAAAAGTTGTAATAATATACTGAATATTTAAAAGCTAACATTTCATAAATACTATTCAGTTCATCAGGACATCAGTCATGCCAGCAAAATAATGTGTTAACTACGCTACTGGCAATTCACACAGAATCACACAAAATCAACTAGGTTGGAAAAGACCTTGAAGATCATCTAGTCCAACCATTAACCTAACACTGACAGTTCCCAACTACACCAGATCCTTAAGTGCTAAGGCAATCCTGTTCTTAAACACCTCTAGGGATGGGGACTCCACCACCTCCCTGGGCAGCCCATTCCAACACCTAACAACCTGTTCTGTAAAGAAATGCTTCCTAATATCCAGTCTAAACCTTCCCTGGTGCAACTTGAGGCCATTACCTCTTGTCCTATCACTTACTACTTGGTTAAAGAGACTCATCCCCAGCTCTCTGCACCCTCCTTTCAGGGAGCTGTAGAGGGCGATAAGGTCTCCCCTCAGCCTCCTCTTCTCCAGACTAAACACCCCCAGTTCCCTCAGCCGCTCCCCGTACGACCTGTGCTCCAGACCCTGCACCAGCTCCGTTGCTCTTCTCTGGACACGCTCGAGTCATTCAATGGCCTTTTTGTAGTGAGGGGCACATATCCTTTCCCTGTCCCTGCTGGCCACGCTATTGCTGACACAAGCCAGGATGCCATTGGCCTTCTTGGCCACCTGGGCACACTGCTGGCTCCTGTTCAGCCAGCTGTCAATCAAACCCCCAGGTCCCTCTCTGACTGGCAGCTCTCCAGCCACTCCTCCCCCAGCCTGTAGCACTGCTGGGGGTTGTTGTGGCCCAAGTGCAGCCCCCGGTATTTGGCCTTATTGAAACTCATGCAGTTGAGCTTAGCCCATCGCTCCAGCCTGTAAATACTGCATTTCTACAAAATATTCAATGGTACTTGCTTAAGAAGTACTTAGGAAGCAGCCTTTGGTTTTGGAGAGCAGTAAAAAATTACCTCAAAAGCCACTGGAAGCAACACATGGAAAAACACAGCAAGATAATCTGAATTTCCCATCCCAACCTGCAAAATATGAGAAATACAAGTCATGTTTTCCTGTTGAAATAAAAAATTTTCTAAGGTTCTTCAAGACTTTAGAGAAAGATAGTATCAAAATTTGAAGATAAGGGAACCTTATAAGGTCAAATAAAACAAACCCCATTTAAGTAAAGTGCATAAATTTTCACCATTTGCAGTCCTAAATATGAGCTTCAGTTGTCTGCTGAGCAAGGATGGATGCAACCATCTCCTGAAACACTTTTTGATTTGATGGCTAGACAAGATATTCAAGAAAAAAATACTGTATGTTTTTCTCTCCCTCTCTTTTTTTCTTAAACATTATCACACTCTGAGCCATATTTTTCAGCAGACATTCCACTGACAGGAAGCATGTACACTGTGCTAAGACATAGGCCAAGTAAGTAAAGCAATGCACTTCCTGGAATGAGGAAGCATGAGATACAAATCTACTGCACAAAAGCATGAGATACAAATCTACTGCACAAAAGCATGAGATACAAATCTACTGCACCTGCTTTTTTGTGCTGTGAACATTTACCTTATTCCAAGGCAAATTTATGTTGAAACCTTTTCCTTTTCCTAGACCCACAGCATCATAATCAGACTCTCTGAGTGATGGCCAGAATTCCTGATGTTCATAGCGATGCCAGGAAAAATACAAAACACTGAAAGATACAAAAAAATAAATCCAACTTGATAAAAAGATTCTGAACTTGACTTTACATCCCGAACCTGGTGACTGTACGGAGTGAAAGCAAGAAAACAGAGGTGTCCTTTCTCTTTATTTCTCTTAATGGATTTGAACTGTTGAACTTGGTACAGGAGGTCCTATGCCAAAAATTAACCTAAAAATTAACCCGCCAAAAAATTCTTATATGCACACACTCTGTTCAGAACAAAGACAGAGCATTTTCAGAAGAGCAGACTTGTTTCTAGAACCTACTTCTATGGCTTTTCCAAAAACTTATAAAGGTCATGTATTTTATCCAACTACTACTTGAATACTTTAACTGAGAGATTTGTGAATACAGAGAATACATGTATTACCTGAATACAGGCACAAAGAGATCCTGCTACTAGCAAACCAAGGTAATCATATTGCTCATATTGCATTTGTTATGCTTTAAAGTAGAACAGGTTTACATATTTATTTTTTTTTTTAGATCTTTCCCTTTATTTTATAACAAGAAAAAACAATAGAGTGCCTAAAATAGCAAGGAGAATGTTTTGTAAGATTCTAGTTTTAGAAATTTAAGAAATCTTATTCTCTACAAAGGCAAGCGATCTTTAATTAGATAACATTTAAAAAATATTTTAAAAAACTTCAAACCTTGGATCTTCTTCAAATATATACTGAGTTCCTTGCCCGTGGTGCACATCCCAGTCAACAATTAGGATTCTGCATAGATCAATAAAAGAAAACATTTAGTGGAAGAACCACAGCCTTTGATCTAAAGGAGGTAGAGATTAATAATGTTTTTCTGACCCAAAAGGTACATGACACCCAGAAAGCTCTAAACATTAATCTAAAATGGTACAATGTCAAACTGTTCTCTAAGTGACATACTTGAGTATGAAAAGCTTCCCTAGAGTCAACCATGCACTTACCTCTTTAGACCATATTTCAGTTTTGCATATTCTGCTGCAATAGCAACATTGTTAAACAAACAGAACCCGTTAGCTGCATTTCTCTGGCTGTGGTGACCTGGAGGTCTAAAACAAAGTTGTATATGGTTATTCACAACAAAAGAAATTTTGGTAAGAAGTGAAAAATTTCTCACATATTTTCTTACCTTACTAATGCCATTCCATTGCACACTTTTCCTGACATCACAGCGTCCACCAGCTGCAAAGTTGCTCCTACTGCTAGTCTGGCACAGCGGTAAGTGTTCTGAAAAAAGAGAAACTCATAGTTGTCATCAGTCACTCATCAGCTTGTTTTAACTAATCACACATAACGTGTTTGTGCACCCCAACAGCAAATTGTCTTGACATTTGACATAATTCTACCCAACTGAAGTTGTATACAGATAGCTGAAAGCAGAATTTTACCACATAGACTCCAATGTGCTTTCCACTAGGTTTACCCGTGATCACCATATCCTTCATAAGGATGTTCTCTCTCTGGAGCAGTTAAGAAACATGAGATGGACATATTGAACTGACTAGTGGAATAACACAGCATCTTTGAAAATAAGGAATGAAATCCTACAGAAACAAAACACAGAAGACTTCACCTCCATTACCTGGCACAGCATTTAAGAGCAACTGTTACCAAAATGCAATTTGCAGGTCAGAAATGGTCTACAGTGACATTAAGTGACAAAAATAGAGCTAAAATGTATCACACTATACTGGCATGATACAGTTACAGAATAGATGACAGGACACAACCAATTTAAATTACACCATTATACTAAACTTTAAACAGATAGCAATAATATAATAAATAAATGCAAGTCTACTTAAATAGCAAAAACTGTATTGCCAATCTTCCCCTACTTAGAAAAGTGCCACTCAGATGCAATAACACAAACACTTGTAATTCCCAATAGAGGAAGCAGTTTAACTTACACACCTGATGAAAAAAAAAAGCATCATAATTTCCAGAGACTCTTTTCAGTTCCTCTTCATTCATTGTCTGTGTGCTTTTTGCCACTTCCAAGTGTTCTGAACTGCAGAGGAGAAAGATTAACACGACACTTACAAGCAACTGTACAGGGTCTTTTTAATGCAAAATGTAATGAAAAGTAACAGAATATATGTTAAAAGAGCCTTTCTGTGAGACTTCACAAGTCCAGTAGGTACTCTGGAATGCTAGTTACAGGATATAGTGGAAAAAAAATAAGCAGCACTATGAAAGCAAGGATTCTTGGATGTCATAAGAATTATTCTCTTTTCCAGTGGTAAGAGCAATTAGTCTTGCTTTCTAAAAAAAAGGGTCTTTGTTCATCATGCAGCAATCTATTTTGCAATTCATGCTACCTATAGATACCATCCCAACAAGAACTAAACTAGGATTCTCACAGTCATCAGAGTGTGAATTATAACTCTGTGAATGTATGTCTAGTCCTCCCTTGTTCTACTGAAAACAAGTATTTGAATTAATCCTTTATCAGCTGTATTCTAACTCCCTCTTTTCACTGGTTCAAGAGTGCAATAAGTACTAAGGCACTGGCACCAATGTTCCCCCAATTCTTTGCCACTGCTCTCCTGCCCTTGTGTAGTGAGCTGGAAGTGGAGTGTGATGGCATCTCCTCTCCCATCTGTGTCCTAATCCAGGATACAATGACCACATATATGTGTTCCTGTAGGTTGACAACACCAAAACAACCAAAATTTCACAACAAAATGAGACACGCTAGTGCTGCCTAATGGAAAAAAGGCTCAAGAGTGGCTTAAAAATGAAGCCATTAACAGGAATAAAACTATATGAACCTGAATGAATATATAATTATTAGTTTAACTTCAGCATCAGCCTCGTAACTAACTGTGAACATCAACAAAACATTTTTACAGGACTTATAAATTTGTTTCCATATAAAAGTGTTTTAGAAAGGAAAGAGCTCTATTACTTCTAGCTTACTTATGGAAACCAAGACACGTCCCCAATCATCTTGCAGGAATAACTCAACTGGAAATAGTGATCAAGTTGCCTCTTCCATACCCAATCAGCAATGTATTACTATGAAAATAAATTATACTGGTACACAGCACTAACTGAATTCTAATAAATAAGTATGCGCTTAGGAAAAATACTGTCCTGGAATATGAAAATGTAAGCATGACCTCGGATCAAGCTATGGTCCTTGTCACAGGTGTCAGGGCCCTGGGTGCATCCCCTCCCTCCTGGGGTTTGGCTGCTGGGTTCAGAACCAGAGATAGCACAGCTGGTGACCTTGCGAGCTACAAAGAGCCTCAGCAGAGGCTCCCTCCTAACAGTTCCGCTGAGAAGCCTCAGCAGAGGCTCCCCCTCCTTCCCTTGGCACTTTCTTTTAAGATAAGGTTCTTAACTTTGGTTACACTGCAGCTGTGTTGCGTAGCCATGTCTGCGTCTGGCTACAAACACTACTAATCTGGACCTGGACTCTGACCTGTGGACTGAATCTCCACCTTGACTTCAGACCTGCCATGTAGCTATGGCCTCATTGGGCAATCTAAACTCATGGCTGAATCCAGCTGCTATCACTGGATTCAGTGTGCTGCTCACCTTGCTTGGGTATTGTGGGATTGTGCCCTTGGCCTTGAAGCCACTGCCTCTGGCTGCTTTGTCATCACACTCTGCTCCTGACTCCTCTTGCCTTTCAGAGAAGGCTGCCCTTGACACTCCCTGGCAAGGGCAAATGAGTGCACAAGCAACACACAGAATCACCTGCAGCTAGTTGCAGAACCATCACACCAAGGTGGCAAATGCCAGAGCAGACCTCATTGCCATGACTTCAGAATGGGCAAGCTGCTGTTCCTCTTTACTCTCCCCCCTTCAAGAATTAGCTACAAAGTTTTTCTGTTTGGTTCACTCCATCTCAAAGATGCTTGGGAGAAGGAGAAGGTTATCTTTCTACAAAAATACCCATTTTTCTAAACTTTTTTAAGTCCTGTCCCAATTGTTATTAGAAGTTACTTTTAATCGTATACATAAATCATCATTCATTGCTTAAGAACCTGAAGAGTGAGAATAGGGACTTACTGGAATATCAGATTTGTACTTCACAGCTACACGATACTCAATATTATTTGTCTAACTTTGTGTGGTACATTTTCCATTGAAATTACTGGAAGTCATTGAGTTTTGGAGCAGACCTTTTCAAATGAAGCAACATATGACCTGAAGGTATGAGATCTGTTATTTCATTTAATTAATCTCAACGATGATGAAAGTAACTTTCAGACCTGTGAACTAACAGGATCTCCTCCTCACTTCCTTCTCTGACAGGTACACGGACACATCTTTCCACAAGATGGTAACGTTTAAGCTGCTCATAGGAGGATGACAGTCTTTCTGGCACTTCAATATCACAAACAGGACTAAAAATAAACAAAAATCATATTACTATAATGCCATACCAGCACAGCTAACAAATACACTTCATAATGCCTAGCTTTTAACTTCTAATTGTAAGAAGATTCATTACCTTCTTAGAGGGACATGTAAGAGTAAATTAAAATCTTTAAATACTTTTTGTTTTGTAATTGAGCCAAACATGTGTAAGCAGAAAATGATATGTGGTTCTTAAATAAAAATGAAACACAACAACATTTTTGTATTCCTCTCTCACCATTGAAAGTAGCAATACTTAACTACAGACACAGGAATGCTGCTGATTACAATGAAGGTGAACAGAGGAGACTTGGGCTTGGGAGAGAACACAACAGTGGACTATTACTCTGAGCACTGCAAAGGTACTGGTCTAATTTATGTAAATTTAAGCAAGTGGCATATACCAACTTCTAACTGAATTGAATTGACAGCTTTCAGCTGAGTGTATCGATATATTTTTTCCAAGATCTTTATAAGCAATTTACTTAGCTTAAAATACTTTATTTAGGGGGCTACTCAGAATTTAAAGTCAACACTTCTTATTAACGTGTACCAGACTGGAGGCCTACAGCTTCTCCGATTATAATTTTGACATCTGGATACAAATTGGGAATAAAATAAAAATTATTTCCAAAAGGAGACTTCCTATTTTCTAGGAAAATGACAGGGTATCTATTTCCTACTATATTTACCTATGGCTAGTAGGTATTTCCTATTACATTTACAAAAACTGCATTTACTTGGTATTTCTCTCCGAAGTCCTAACAAGATTCAATTCATAAAAAGGACGTCAGTGACTTACTCACTCCAAAGTAGTTTATGAGTGGTCATCTCCTCATCGTAAATCAGTGCTGTTCCTGAAGCCATTGCTACAGACAGAACAAAACAACAATCTCAAGGCACATATTTTAGGCAAGAAGTAAACATATATTAAAACAAACAATACTGTATTAGCTAGTGAGAATATATGTACATAGCGTATCTGTTTGCATGTCAGTTTTGCACTTACAGAACGAAATCATATAAAATTATTTTGAAAGAGGCCTGAGAAGACAGGCAAGTGAGGCAGCGATTCAAAGCTAATTGCACAGACCTTAAAACTGGATGCACGCAGGTAGGATTCACGATTATCTGCATTTCCAAAACCTCAGCGGAGGCATTTCTGGTGAAGGGGTGGGGTTAGGCCACCTCCCCAAGCCCCTCTAGCCCACACTCGGCCTGATGCAGACTGCTGAGGATCTGAGCACCGGCCTGCACAGGCCTCCTCATCCCGCCATTACACACCGATACTCACCTGTCACGGCTGATGTGAAAGGAACCAGCTACTTGCGAAAGCTGAAGTTATAAAGTCACAAAGTATGAAAAACAGGATTGTATACACTACGGATAGAGCAATTGTAGGGATCTGTTGTGTTTAAAACTTTGAAAAAGCCCAAGAGAGACATTTAAGAGAAACAAAGAAACCGATGCGAAGAGGCTGGAAGCGCGCCGCTGGCCGCTAGGCCGCCTCACCGGAGCCCTGGAGTGCGCGTTACCGTGGGCCGCGGGCCCGCTCCGCTCCTCGCCTCCCGTCCGCCGGGAACGCCTCGGCTCGGCCCCGCCGGCCGCCCACTGCTCCC